GGGGGTGGAGTGGGGAATGGGATCAAAAACGGTGTGGGGGGGGGGGGGGGGAGAGAAATGCATGGGATTATGGTGATGGTACACGGGTGATTTGGAGATGGGAAACCTGCGGGGATTACAATCGAGATGGAAAAAAAATGTACAAAATGATGTAAAAATAAACTTTTGTAATAAAAAAAAGAAATGGCTCTTGATTCTTGTATTAACCAAATTTCCCATCTTTCTTCATTCCTCTTTTTTTTTTTTTTCTATAATCAGTTGATGATTTTGTGGTTTCTGCTGACACAGGCTTCAAAACCAACAAGTATCTTTTTGACACTCAGTTAATAGATTTTCCGTTTGCTTAGCCATTCCTTATTAATGGATTCCTCCAAATTTTATAATCCGTAGTTTACTACTGTACCCACACCACCAAAATCTACAAAGTGATTTTTATGCCCATTCACACAGAAAAATGGCTAGTCAATTTTCTAGGTTGATAGCACTTTTGTCTGGATCTAAAAATAGTCAAATCACTTACCTAGAGTCACACACTTTTTACAGAAAATATGGCCACAGCTGGTGACAAAGAAATGGTCTCCATCTTTTCGGAAACACTGGTTGCAGTGAAACCAATCCATTCTGGAGCAAATAAAGGGAAAAAGTGAGAGCAACGTAGGGTACAATATAGTTAGTGTTCGAAAATCTATGTGATGATGTTTGTTTAGTGAAAAAAAAAAAAAACAGACAGATTATATACTATTTTTTAAAAAAAATTTTTAAAGATTTATTTATTTATGCATACAGAACTGGGGTACAAGCCAGAGGTGCAGGGTGTTAAGAGGATTCACCAGGGACAGAGTGGGGGGCAGAACAGGCAGATCGTCCAAGTACACTGCTGAGGGGAGCAGCGGGCAGGTCAGGAGAAGTCTGCCGGCCATGTGTTCACCTCAGGTGCAGTCGGGGATCAAACTCATGCGAAGTGGTTTTTACCTTCTTAGCGCTGTGCTTTAACCTGCTGTGCCACCAGGGAGGGCCTAAAATTTATTTATTTATACATACAAGAAATGAATTATAAGTAAGAGGTGCAGGAAGAAGGATGCTATGTGAGAGAACTCACAGAGTGAGAAGCAAGCCAGAGGTGGGGTGGGTGGGTAAGAGGATTCACCAGACAGAGTGGGGAGCAGACAGGCAGACAGAAGAAGTACACTGCTGAGGGGAGCAGCAGGTGAGACAGGAGAGGTCCGCTGTGCCCTGTGGATCAGCTCACTGGTAGGGTATTGAATTTGTGCTGTAGTGGCTGGTGATAGCTTGATAGTCCTGAGACTAACTCCTGTGCCACTATGAAGACACAGTCATACAATTTTTTTTAAGGAGTAGTATATATTTAGAAGAGTAATAGGACAATGATAATTTAATTTTTTGAACACTAAGATTATTGGTGTGTATGTTGTGCTGTCTTTACACATTGCTGTTTTCCAAGATTCCTGGATTAATTCATGTATCAATTTTTGTTTAAGATTTATTTATTTATGCATACAAAACTGGGGTACAGGCCAGAGGTGCAGGGGTGGTGAGAGGATTCACCAGAGACAGAGTAGGGGGCAGAACAGGCTAGCTGACCAAGTATACTGCTGAGGGGAGCGGCAGGTGGGTCAGGAGAGATCTGCCGCCATGTGGATCATTGGGGATTGAACTCATGCTGAAGTGGCTTTAGCTTCTTACTGCTGTGCTTTAACCCGCTGTGCACCAGGGAGGGCCCTCATGTACCAATTTTTAATTAGAAAAAAAAAATCCAAAAAAACACAAAGGACTATCCACTTGCCCTCCAACAAGTTACTTGTGATATGGAATGATGGAGTGACAAGGGGACGATGAACAGGATAAAGAATATCAGGTATTAGTCACTTGGGACATAACAGAAATATGGTTTGTGAATAATAATGTTTTTAGCTTTATGCACATTTCTATCTACTCTGCTGAAACTCATAATGACAGATCTGGAAGGGGTCTTGAAAATCATTTACTATTTTGTTTAATCCCACCATTTTCAAAAGGTGCTACAACTCAACAACTTGTCTAAAATTCCATTTTAATTAGTGGTAGCTCTGAGTTTAGAACCTAAGTCTCTGAATTCATGGGTAAAGTTTCTGCTACCACATTAAGTAAACCTCTGTGCTAGACATGGCAACCATTATCTCCCATGGGGGGGGGGCAATCCTAATCCCACATAATTTGTTAAAAATACAGCCATATAACATGATTTATATGAATTTAAATAAAGAAATTGATGTTATCAAAAATATGGACCTGAGATGATACATACTGGAGCTGTAATGAACTCATATGTAATGAATTCTTATGCTTGATTTCATGAATGTTATTTAACACTATATTTTTTAGTTTAATTTAATTTAAAGTTGTAATGGGAAAATAGGGTCTCCCTGGTGCACAACGGGTTAAAGCGCAGCACCAGGAAGCTCTGAGCAACTATAGAAGCTGGAGTTTTATTCCCCCACCAAGGAAGGAGTAGCTCACTTATCCAGTTTCACCAGCTGCTCCCCTAAGCAGGCTGCTCCCCTCAGCAGTGTTATTTCAGTCAATCCACGTGTTCTGCTCCCCACTCCCTCTGGTGAACCCTCAGTCCCCCACATGTCTGGCCTGCACCCCAGTTCTTTATATGCATAAATAAATAAATAAATCTTTAAAAAGTTTTGGCCCTCCCTGGTGACGCAGCGGGTTAAAGCACAGCACTAAGAAGATTAAGCCACTTCTGCATGAGTTCGATTCCCGATTCCCGCCTGCCCGGAGGGGACCACATGGTGCGGCAGACCTCTCCTGACAGACCTGCTGCTCCCCTCAGCAGTGTACTTCATCGATCTGCTGTTCTGCTCCCCACTCTGTCTCTGGTGAATCCTCTCACCCTCCGCATCTCTGGCCTGTACCCCAGTTCTGTATGAATAAATAAATAAATCTTTAAAAAAAAAAAGTAAAGTTTTATTGGAAAAATAATAGAAATTGAACACTTGTTTTAAAAAGCTTAAAAGTGGTTTCTGGAAATGGCTGCTAAAAGAATGATATTAGTTTGCCCCACCTCAACATTTTTTAACACTAAGGCAAGATTCACTATAAAAATCTGCTGAATAAACATTCAAGGCAAAGACATTACACAGAAAAGGACGTTCAGATTTCTGTTTTTTGTTCATGATACATCTAACTGCTACCAGGATGGGAATGTAAAAAATTACTGAAAAGTAATTTTAAAAAGCTATTTAAGGCCAGCGACAATTTTGACCGAATAGGTTGGCGAAATGAACTCCCTACAAGGGCAGCTGACAGGGTTTGTGAGGATAAGACGCGCCTGGATTTCTAGGGTAAAGAGGATTCAGCAGAGTTTCAAATTGACCAATTCTTTTTCTAGCTACCTTCCCAATTCGGTTGCGGTAATCCCAGAAGCCTTCAGATCTCACTGAAATCATCGACTTCTCGTCACGAAGAGCTGGAAATGGCGGGAAAATCGCTAGAGCAGAACACCAGAAAGCAAGGGGCTGGAGGAGGTCCGCGACGGCGCACGCGAGGAGTGGGCGGGGCCGCGACGGCGTGTGCGAGAGTGGGCGGGGCCCGGACTGTGCGCTGAAGGAATGCACCCCTCCCCCTCGCATCGTGGGCGGGGCGGGGCGGGGCTCCCGGAGGCTGAGGAGGAGAAAGGATGTTGTTTCTTTTTTTAATCGCCCAGGAAAATTCACCTCATTATTTAAGTTTAGGAACGAATAAGGAATATGACCATATACCATACATTTCGCTTTGGAGACGACAGGAATATTTAAAAACACGATAACACACTGGAGAAATACTGTCGTAAGATGAACACTTTCAACATAGTGTTTTTAAATGAAGTAAAGAAAAAAGGGCCCTCCCTGGTGGCACAAGGGCTTAAGGCACAGCAGTATGAAGCTGTCCACAGTCACTGCAACACAAATTCAACCCCCGACCAGGGCGGTGACCCACATGGCTCAGAAGACCTCTCCTGACCAGCCCGTTGCTCCCCTCAGCAGTGTTCTTGGTAAATCTGCCTGTTCTGCTCCCCACTCTGTCTCTCGTGAATCCCCCCCCCACACACACACTTCTGTACACCAGTTCTTGTGTGCATAAATAAATAAATCTTAAAAAAAAAAAAAAGATGCTTTGAGAGAACAGTATAAAACAAATACAACAGACAAAAACTGATAAAGCTAGGGAACAATCAGACTTCAAGAACTAACAAACCTCAGGGGGAATTTTTTAACTTCTTTCAGCAATAAGAAATGAGAAACAAGTACAATTCAAGACTGAAGATAGAGTTCAATATTAGGAAATCTATTAACATAATTTTTAAAAAGATTTATTTATTTATGCATGCAAGAACTAAGGTACAGGCTACAGGTGTGGGGGATAAGAGGATTCACCAAAGGCAAAGTGGAGAGCAGAGCAGGCAGAGAGGTCCAGGGTGGAACAGGAGAGGTCTGCCATCTCCCTGGCTGGGGATTGAACTTGTGCTGCAGTGGCTGTGGACAAGTTCTTCACAGTGCTGCACTTTTTATTGGTTGCATCACCAGGAAGGGTCCTGTTCAACACTTTCAAGACAATTCATTAAACATGGCACTCAAACTTCTCATGATCTACAATGCTTTTCTTTTTGCATCTCCCAAAGTTTAGTTAGAACACTGTGCTCAAAAGTCACATTGAATTTAAATTACACTGTCATACTATTACAGGCTAGGGAGATGGACACTCCTGAACCCCCAAACTTGCCTACTCTAAATAGGTTCATCCATCTGCTGCAAGACAAAATATAAGACCTTTAATGGTAAGGAACTTTAATATAATTAGTGTGCAATACAGAAAAGACAAAGAATATAATTTCTAAATCAGACACCCAAAGTTACCCATCCTCTCATGGGTAAAGTCCACACAAAAGGGATTAGGCCAAAGCAAGGCCTGACAGCCCGCCACAAGCCTAAAGCACCTTCTGGCAAACACACATTAAAAAAGTTCAGAAATGGCCAGACACTTCTGGGAAGAAAAAAAAAAATAAAAATCAAGATAAACACTGCTATAGTGAACCTCCCCACGGGGCTCTCACCAACATCTGTTTCAACCAGTCCAGGGCCAAAAATCAAGAACTGCTTCTTCATGTGTCTCTCTGCTCCCAGTGCCTCCCTCAGGTCTCCTTCTGACTCTCCATCCTGCTTCCTTCCTCTTCAGTCTCCTTTTCAGATTCTTCTCCTCTCTGCTTTGAGTGGGGCAGGGAACCTGGAACCTCCCCTTTTCATGGGGACCACCCTGCAACAATACCTCTGTGTCTTTATGCAAAGTGTTTCTTTGTTAACTTCTATTTGTCCTTCCAGACTCAACTCTGAAGTTCCTCTCTCCAGGTGCTTACTCTACAAGCCCACTGAGCCGCACAGCCAGAACTTCCTTTATATATCTCTCTCATGGCCCTTGGCTCATGTTGTTAAAATTGTTTTATGTCTCTTTCTAATCATATTTTGATTATATCTTTAATTTAAGATGACCAATCCTTCCACAACTTTTTAAAAAGATTTATTTATTTATTCATTCAGAACTGGGCCAGAGGTGCAGGA